CAATACTGCTGAAAGCAGTACAAAACAATAAGAAATCATGTAACGACAATTCACTTACATAAAATTGGTGGTAATAAGTTCATTACAATATCAATCATAACATAAGCTCCTTCTGATGGTTTTTGACCATCCTAAAGAAAGAAATAAATAAATATCTTTTATATATCTTTTTAATCAAATTTAAATTCTAAGAAAATAATGATTATTAATCTATCATTTTTATGATTTGAAATGTCAAAAATGGGGTTGCCAGGCACTTTGGAATAAAATCCATGTCAAAATGAGTTACTTCCAAAAGAGACTGGAACACTTCAATTCCAGGACATGTAGGATGTGTATTTTTACTCTGCCAGTATTGTATTTAAAGGTTTTGTTGTTTCTTTTAATGCTTTTTCCAGTTAAAGTTGTTATTAAAAACATGTGTACTATCTACTATATAAATGCTAAATACATTCTTTTAACACCCTGTACAGTAGACCCCCCTATAACGCTTAGATACGTTCCACGCTAACCAAAAATTACGTTGTAGGAATGAGCCAATCGCATCCCGATAGGTGGGAACTTTACGGACTAAGGCTGTTCGAAAGGTTTTCTTCTATAAAATTAACCGATTCTAGACTAATCGGGCAAAGAAGAGTCTAATCATACTGATTATAGACCAATTGCGCTTTAATCAATTTAATGAATTATTTAAATTAATTTTGGTGAATTCATTCAAAGATTTGACTAATGTCAATAATTTTTTATCTCTATATCAATTCACTTATATAAGTTAAAAAGGCATGGTCCAATGCTATATGTTTTACATATGATATTGCAAGTATATTGGTATAAAAGACATTAAAGTATTCATAGACATTGAGAAAGCATAAGTAAATTCAATCTTACTCATTAGTTTTGAATTTGTGTGAAAAATTACAGAAAGATAAAGCTGATATTGTTTTTCTTAAATTTATTCAAGAACTATTTACTAATTATAAAGTTACAGTTAATCAAGGTAGTAAAGAATTTCCTCCTTTTACTATTAATAGAGATCTATTACAGGAAGACCCTCTATCACCTATGTTATTTAACCATTATATTTATGATTTTGATTATATTTTTACTAAAAAATCACAAGGATTATTGATCAGAGGAATTCCTTGTTTAATTTACATTGATGATATAATGTTATTTTGCTCCTATTTAGCTTTAAAATATAAATTAATTGTCTGATATTAATAAAATCTAAAATAAACCCTCAAAAACTGCAAACCGTGATACTTATTGTGACATTGTGACAATGCCAGGTTGCAATTTTTAATCATAGTTTTAATTTATTTAATTTAAACTATATGCTCTCAATTTCAAATTAGTAGTGTCTTATCCCTATACATCATACTTCTAATAACAACAGAGTCATGCTAGTCATCTATGTAACTACATTATGGGGGAACTTTTTGAAATGAAATCATGTGACTTCTGGTCTAAACCAAAAGTTTCTATATAGTTAATTGGGGCCTCCTGCCCCTAAGCTTTCCATATCTGGTCTTGACTTTCATCTATCAAACACTATTCTCAAGATTAAGGAAGGACAGACAGACAGAAGACAATGGAAATTTATAGGTCTCCAATTTTTTCAAATTGCAGCCCAAACAATGTTAAAACAGCTGGAAAAGAAATTTTTATCGTTAAAAGATTCAATTACAAGTTGTTCTGAAGATAATATATTTAGGAATTGTGTTTACCTGAAATAATGAATTTAAAGAGCATTTAATATATACCACACTAATGCATTGTAAAAATATCTAGTTTATATATTGTCTAGGATAAAAATATCTGATCTAAGAAATCGATTTAAACTATTTAAAGCCCTAGTACTTTCTATTTTATTGTACACTTTCCCAATGTGATCATAAGAATATATATGTAAAGTAGAAAACATATAACTTTTTTACATTTAATCCTTCAAGTAAAGCAAAATATTCTGGAATATGCATTAAATTATGAAATGAACAGATTTTATATCTTTTCTTTTATACATAAAACAAATATACAGTAATACCTCGATTTACGCAAACCCGAAGTTACATGATTTTCAAATCGCGTCGATTCATCTTTTGTTTGAGTGCCACGCAATTCTTGATTACTCACTCCCCCCACACTATTGTTCAGCTTACATGTTTGGATGTGTTGCATGAATCAACACATAGCCACAATTTATTTTGTGTAATTTATTTCTCTGTTTGCTATATGGTTGGCTTTCTTTGTCTTTTCTGACCCTAATTCGGTGGCTTTTTTCCCTGGTTTCTCAGGTTTCGCTTGGGTTACCCCCAAGTGACAACTCCAAAAGTCAGAAAGGAACTCATTAAACTCAGGCACTTAGCTATATCCTGGACAAATATCAAGGTTGATGATTTCCTTCACATCACTAGGTGTTATAACTGCTGTGGAGTTAATCATATAGCACAGGAGTGCCCTGCAAGCCAACATTGTAGCCACTGCTCAAAGGGTCACCATTTTAAAGAATGCAACCGAAAAGATCAGCCTCTCTGTTGTATAAATTGTAAGACCTATAACAAAGACTTGCAATCCGACAAAAGAATACCAACCAATCACAATGCCTTTGATCCTTACTGTCCGCAAATCCTCAGATTAAAGGAGCAAGCTATCAAAAAGACCAATTATGGATACTAGGCTTATCAAACATAATATAACACTACTACAAATTAATCTGCAAAGGTCTAAGGCAGCCACAACCGAAGCCCTCCAAACTGCCATTAATCATCAGGCTGACTTACTAGTGGTGCAAGAGCCCTATTGCTTCAAACAGAAGATTGCTCTCTTTGGCAACTACAACACTCTTTACTATACCAATGGTCACGACACCCCTCTCACTAGGGTCATTATTATGAACAAGAACATTGACGCCCAACTTCTGGTCCACCATAGTACCAGTACCTACTATTACACAACAACTCTCATCAATGTTGGTGGCAATCTGATTATAATCGTCTCTTTCTACTGTGCCCCTTCTGAGGACATCAACATCCCACTGGACTGTCTTCAAACTACCATCCAGCAACTCAACAACCACCCTGTCTTAATTGCCAGGGACTTCAATGCCAAGTCCGCTCTGTGGTACAGTCCAATAGAGGATCCCAGAGGTTACAAGGTTACTGAGTTTATGAACTTACTGAACTTTCAATCTCAGAACACCAGCATCCTTCCCACCTACTCCTGTATGACTGGTGAGGGCTGGGTGGACCTTTGTTTGGCTAAACGGGCAACCTCCCGGCTCTTACACTCCTGTTCCACACTAGCAGAGCACTCTGTTAGTAATCACAAGTACATTAAAAGTATCATAGGCACTCCAAGCTTAAGGAAGAATGTGCATATTGTTCAGAAAACTGACTGGGAGCAATTTCAAAGCCACATAAAACAAAACTGGCATTGTGGCCCTATCACCGATATCACAAACACCGAAGAGCTAACTACCATCATTGACGACCTTCAAAAAATCATTCATATTGCCTATCATGCCACAACCAAAGTTAAAACTGCCAGGCTCTCTGCTCCCTGATGGACTCAAGAGCTCTCAAACCAGAGAAGGTTTTTAAGGAAAGCCAGGAACAGTTACAGGAGAGAGAAAAGAACACAAAAGAAAATCTCAGACAGCATTACCTAACCCTCTTCAGGAACTACAAAACTGCAATTAATTGAACTCACACCAACTCCTGGCAAGATTTCTGCTCGAGCATAGGTAACTCAAGGCCCTGGTCCACTCTGTACTATATCGCCAGGGGCAAAATCAAGAACACTAGGATCCCTGGTACTCTCAACCAGAACATTAGCAACCTCAGCACCTCCATTTACAACACTTACTCCCAGATACTACGAAACTTATTCCCAACTGACGACCCAACACAGGATAACAACTACCAAGCCAACATCCACTATCACTGCAATGAAAATTTGTCCACCACAGATGAAGCCCCTTTTACAGCCCAGGAGGTTGTGAGGGAATTCAACCATCTTAAACTCAGGAAAGCACCAGGCCCGGATTCAATTTCACCCAAAATGGCCTACGAAGCCATCCCCACCACTTTCCATCTAGTATTCAAAAAGTGCCTCCAGCTAGGCCTTTTCCCCAGCTCATGGAAAGTGGCCTCCATCAAATTGATTCCCAAGTGCAACCAACCAACAAACTCATTGGACTATAGACCTATTTCGCTCTTGCCAAAGATTGGGGAAGTATTGGATGCCCTCATGGTAAACAGGGTGCAGCACTACTGTGAAGTGGGGAACAAAATCAATACCAACCAACACGGCTTCAGGAAAGGCAGAAGCACCATCAAGGCCTTAGACTCCATTATAAAGTACATCCGAGAGGCCAAATCAAGAGGGGAGATATCATGGTGATTACAATAGACTTTCAAGGTGCTTTTGATCACTCGTGGTGGCCGGCCATCTTAAAAGCACTAACTGACACAGGGTGCCCCAGAAATCTTTTCAATCTCTATAGGAGCTATCTCTCAAACAGGCAGATCATCACTTCCACAGCCAACAATCACTACTGCAAGAAAGATGTAACTAGAGGGTGTCCCCAAGGCTCCTGGTCGGGCCCCTTACTCTGGAACCTCATGTATAATAGCCTGCTGGAGCTCAGCTCCACCTTTTCCACAGAATACACGTGCAGGATATAAGGTTATGCAGACGACACTATAGTGGCCATCTCGCATAGGAACCAAGAGGTTCTTAAGACAGGGCCAATGACATACTAAAGAAAATTTCTCACTGAAGCACCAACAGGAAACTAAAAATAAAATATGAGAAGTGTGAATGCATTCTCTTTTCCCGCAACACTCCTCTCCAGAAAAGACCCACTATCAGAATAGACGGAATATGGATTAAAAACAAGAAAGCCGTCAAGTACTTGGGCATCATTCTGGACAACAGACTAACATGGCAGGACCATGTCCACTATACCTATGAAAAAGCTATCACAGTTTTCATTCCCTTTATTCCATCGCCAGGAACCGCTGGGATTATGGGAGTGAGACTTCTAGACTCCTATACACTGCAGTTGTGGAACCAATATTACTCTATGGCACAGAACTATGGGGAAACTCCGTGAGGAAAACCCACATCAAAAGAAAACTGCAATCGGCCCAGAGACTTTCTGCAATCTCCATCACGAAAACCTACAAAGCCGCACCAACTGATGCCTTACTTGCCATCGCTAACATCATCCCCATTGATCTTATAGTAAAAGAAAGAGTCTGGAAGTATTATCATTACAAGATGGCAACTCACCAAATCAGTAGGCAGGAATTTGACAACATCACCACAGGAATTGGGGTCTATACGGAAGCAGCTTTGCTTGCCAACCACATTGAGCAGCACAGCTTGGACTACCTCCCTCGTCCGCATGCATTCCACCCAAAAACTTCTATCGATGCTCAAATTAATCTTCAGGGAAATGACACCCCACAGGATCCACATCTTCACGGATGGCTCCAAGTCTGACAAAGGCATTGGGTGCTCAATGGTGGTCACCTACAACAAAACGAATTTATACCAGGTGCAGTACAAGCTTGGCAATCACTGCACTGTTAACCAAGCAAAGTCACTAGCCATATTCCATGCCCTACAGTGAACTTTGAACAACATTCATCAACACAACACAAAGAACATCACCATTCTTAGCGATAGCCATGTTGCACTCCAGCAACTGAAAAAGCTGAACAGCACCAACGGTCTACCAAAGCATCAACATTATAATTCATTTACGCAGTAACATCAACATCAGGCTCCACTGGGTGAAACGTCATGCTGATAATGCTGGCAACAAGAGAGCAGACTTGCTGGCCCGCACCGCTCCAGAAAGGATCACTCACTATTCTTTCAGTGCTATTTCCTCTAAATGGCTTCACAACCAAATCAGAGACTACTCCTGGAAACATTGGCAAGACAGGTGGGACACTGGTACAACAGGTAGGCTCACCCACCAATTTATTCCTAGTGTGAAACAGTCGCAGTTATAAACACCTGATTCTCTCCTTCTCAACTACACAGATGTATACAGGGCATGGAAACTTTCGCAGTTACCTGAAAAAGTTTCTGAATAAAACTGATGGACTCTGCCCATGTCCTCTCAAAGAACAGGGGCCATATTCTGATCACTGTCTCTGGTCTCTCGTCTCTCATAAGCCGGTCACTGATTGGCTAATCCAAATAATTAGCCAATCAGCGACTGGCTTGTGAGAGACCAGAGACAGCGACCAGAATACGGCCCCAGGAAGACCCACTGCACATTCTCTTTCACTGCCCTATTTACTCAAGCCAATGAAAGGGACTCACAAATGAAATACACAACAGGAATGAGCTCTGGCCCTGTAAGCTTTGGGTCTTCAGGGAAAACAAACACATCTCCAAAGCCTTCATTCAAGACATCAAGATATTGGACTAGCACGGTGTAATCTATGTTTGCATTCCTGTAATTATCATGGTAATAGTAAATGTATTCCCTGTTATTTAATGTAAATCTTTACGTCACTGTATACCAACTACTAAAATTTTTTCTACAAAGTCACCAAATTATGTACGTAAAAGTATTACTTGTGTAACTTTCCACTTTGAAATTTTACTTTAAGTACTGTAAAATTTTACAGTAATTAAGAATTAGATAATGTTTCCTTTAAGACAATGCTATTATTGAAAAGGACAGTTTTAGTTACTGTATTTTCATGTGTGTATCCCAAGGCCGTGTATAACCCATGATGGCATAACCCCATAAAATATTGCTATAATGAAAATAAGAAATTTGTATACCCTGTGCACAAGGAGCAGCTATTACTCTGCAGGCATGAGTTTGTAATCACAAATTAAAACTGGTATACAATTCACCTCATCACAAAACATATACCCTCTTCAAATTGTCTTTTAAACATAGGTGACCCACAGATTATATGCCCAAAAATATACTGTTAATTAAATTTTTTAATTGAAAATTTTAAAAATCAATTGATTGGCTATTTTATATTATGGTATTTGAAAGTCTAGTAAATCTATAATTTAATTCTTTACAATAGATTAGCATGGTGTAGAGATCTTTCAAATAATTGTAATTCTTGGACTTCGAACTCAAAATTGAGTTTTTAATAAACACTTGGTTTAGAATTGTAATTCTATTTCTAATTAACTGTTAAATTTTTTTTTTTTCATAATCATAAAATAGTTTAAATAATTTTTAATGAAAATATTAAAAATATATAATTTTCTTAATATTTTAAAACAAAGCTATAAGCATGAAAATTATTTTTATAGACACAATGTAAAATAATTATAAATATTTTATGACTAAGACAAAACCTTTCACACTTTGTTTCTGCAGTTTAATCACTAAGTACAAACATTTTAGGCCATTTTGAATGGCCTTCTTCATTCACACACCTTAAATTTTAATATCAAAAGATAATTAACAACATCAATATCGTCTAAACTTTGTTATCAACAATGACGTCACTAGTAAGAAGAAACCTATGTAAACAGTGACACCATTTGAATATCTGCTAACCGACGTTCCAACCGACCTAATTGTACCTGAAGAAGGCCATTCAAAACAGCTGAAAACGTTTGTACTTAGTGATTAAACCACTAGAAACAAAGTGTGAAAGGTTTTGTCTTAGTCATTTTAAGTAGTTCTAGCTTCAAATGCATAGAAGTATAAATATTTTAAATTACATAATTAATTTTTTCATATTATCTAAAATTCTGAAGTAAAATTGATCAAATAGAAAACAATTTTTCACAAAATTAACTTTTACTGACTGCTAAAATGATATTTACATTTAATAACTTACCTAATTAATAATGGTATGCATTGAATATTCTGTACCCTGGATGTAAAAGGTGATGCTACTGAAGCTTCAGCCACTGATAAAGAAACGCCAGTATGTGCTGCTTTTAATGCTCCACAATCATTTGCTCCATCTCCACACATCCCTACCTGATGACTATAAAAATTAGTATGTAAATATAAAGTTTGGCAATTAAGTTTAAGAACTATGTATATTTTAGAGGAAATTATGTCATAATGAAAGACTTTTAATACTATTCAAAAAGAATTTCTTCTGGGCATTAAAAGTGTGCTCATTAAACTCATTTAAATTTTTCATTCATTATATTGCATTGTCTTTATCTTGAAATAATTTTTTTCAATGTCAATTTGATTTTGAGAACAAGAAATACTTTGCAAAAAATAGTTCAAAGAAATTAGAAAAATGATTTAGTTCTGCAATCTAATGCTTTGCTAAAACTTCTTACTCTAGTTTAATATGATATGCATTCATTGACAAAACAGTTATGCACCAAGAATGAAACTATTAATGTAAAAATATAACAACAATGATAGTAAGTGATTACAAATATTGTAGCAAAGGGACAATTTCCAATGAAACAACAGTACAATTTGAAAGAACCTTTAGTACCTTGCATGACCTTTTACCTGGATACACGTGACAATATTATCAGATATGAAGGCAAACAGATACTTTAAGCTAATTTGCAACAGTTTGTCCACAGACGTTATTTATTTATTTATTTTATATAAAAAAGGAAATGTCTCAAGACAACTGTTATCCTTCCCAAAAAAATAATGCCTGCAACAAAAGATTATAATACAAATAACAAAGAATAAAAATCAAAGATGTTACAACTGCCACTCCATATCTCTTGTATTTAATGGCAACAGTTGGCATCCCATCTGGTCCCACAAATGTGGGCAACAAATCTGGAGACTGGGCAGGCCAAGAAAGACAACATAACAGAGAAATTCCTGAAAATCCTAGCCATGTGATTGAGCATTGCGTTACTGGAAAATGAGTTTGTATCCCTGATCATTTCTCTTTTTGGTCTGTCTGGACATCCTGAACCTTTCTGTCTACCCTAACATCATTTCACAGTTATATCAAAATGGCCCAGATGGCAGGCACTTTGGCTTCCCTCAGCCTAATGATAATGCTTCTAGATCCATCATTGGTTTAAATCAGAATCAGAGTCAATATATATATATATATAGCTTTGTTTTCATATTTTTAATGTCATTGTCATTAAATTAATTATTTTAATATTTCTCAAAAATTATTAACACTTATATGCTTTCCTAAATTTATGTAGATATATTTGAAGATAGTAATAAAGATAATATAATTTTAAAGAAAATTCATGTCTTATGAAATAAATATTTTCCTTTTTTGAATGAAGTATAGATAATAAATCCATTAAATTTAAATTCTTTTTTTTTTAAATAGTAAATAACTAATTTTTACAAACATTTATTTAAATACTTTTCACAAATAATAAAATTACAATGCTAAAATAATTCTATTTTTAATAAAATGTAAATGTAATAAAAATATTATTTAGAAACTTAAATAAATTTGATATTCATTAAAATTAAGAAAAAAATTAATAAATAATCAAAATAAACAACTTGTAACTACTTATGTCTCATTATTAAATTTAACTTCACAAAGGGCACAGAACAATATTGCTCAGGCTGTCAGATAATCAATAAAAATATAACATATTACTCCTGTATGATAGTTATAAATAAAATTCAAATAAATTTAATAAATAATTAACAAAACTATAAAAGTATATTATAATCTCATCAAAATAGCATACTCTAAATTTTGAAGAGCTTCTATTAAATGTAACTTTTGTTCTGGTAACATTCGAGCAAAAATTGTCCCTTTTTGAACAATCTGAAATAACATATTAGAAAATTTGTAATTATAAAAAAAATTATTAATTATTTTCCAGTTTCATTAATATATTATTTATCTACAATTTAGCATTTAATAGTTAAAACATAAAATAAAATTAATAGGATTGTAATAATAAGAAATATATTAATTTAGTAAATTAAATAAGCTATTTTGAATCTTGCAACTACAAGCAGCACACTACTATCTGGTAGCAGAGCTGCTAAGCATCTTTTTGGTGCATGAATGAGACTTATTAATTAGAAAGAGTGAGATCACTGATTTTATACAAATATTGTGTCAATCACCAATGAAGTTCAATTACTGTGGCATGGTTCTTAGCTGATGAAGCACAGAACAGAAATAAGGTCCAAATCACATATCAATAGAATGCAATCAGTTAAAATAAAATTGGCATAAGAATAGATTCTATTACACACATTTTTATTATTTTACAGTAGAATCTCATTTTAATGAATTGCTTGGGTTGCTGGAAATCATCCATTGTTCCTAGAATCCATTATATTGTGAACAACAGATTTCCCTCACACCCAGGAAAGTATCCATTATAAGGAAAAATTTCCATTTTTCAACCTCCTATATATAAGAAATCTAGTAATTGAAATTATTCAGTCTCTTGAGATCTCTATTCTTTACTCTGTAGAAATATGTATGCTACAAGATCATATATTATGCTGTACAGTACATGTTTATGATAAAGCTGATGGAAACTGTAAGTGCAAAAAGAGGCAAATTACTTATGCTCATTAGCACTTCACTGATTTCAGAATTTATTAAAATACTCATTTATCTTGGTTTGTTTTTGTGCTGCTTTTCTGCCTATTGAATACAATAACTGTTGAATACAATAATTGTGAAGTTTACAATAGGTAGAGCTAAAAAATAATCTTTCCAAGTTATTCCAAGTTTCAGAACTGCTAAAAGTAGGTAAAATTACATTGATTTGGTGGGACCTAGGGAAAAAAATCCATTATTATTAGATATTCATTGTTTTATGATCTGCTAAAACGAGATTCTATATTCTTCTAATGTATATACCCTTATAATGCTCTGTATTATACAATTACATTGTTTTCTTTGCTTTTTTAATTCTGTTTTAATCTATTGTCTGCTGGAGCTCAAATAAATGGAAAGACTCAGGTACAACCAGTACTGACATTTAAGAAAAATAAAATATACAATGCTAAGGAAAAAAATTACCAAAACTAATTAATATTTACTAAGTTATTTCATAAAAAAATTGAATAAACCTTATCTTTATTTAATAATTTTATGTTTTATAAATATGCCTTTTACCCATATTAATGTCCAGTGCCGGCCTGAGGCAAGTTTTAGGATGGAGCGAGATCCTATTATGGCGCCCAGGGATGGAACCTCGCCCACGGACTCGAACTACGAGCGTCTCAACAGATAAGGCCATTCACATACTGGTCACACGCTTGCAATTAAAATATCGAAAAGTGAAAAAATATATTTTTTCCTTTAATTTTTTTACCACTAAGGCGCCCCTAGGACTTAGCGCCTGGAGCGGCTGCTTCGTTCGCCCTATGGTAGGGCCAGCTCTGTTAATGTCTTTTACCAATATAGTAGAGCGTCGTTTATCCAAATCAATTGAAGACTGGGGTTGTCCGGAAAATCGATATTTCGGATAACTGATTATGTACGAAAAAATATATTAACCTATCCCATGTTGAAATTTTTCTCCATTGCGTGTCACTTTGTGTTGAATTTTTGTCGATGTTAAGACTATTGTATCGTTAAAAATTATTTTTTTATTTTGTACAAACAAAATAAATATACTGAAAAATATAAAACAATAAAAAATTATACTTCAGAAGTTAATTTAGCATCAAAGACCTAAAATATTTGAGTAGCCCAAGACATAGCCAAAGATTGCAGCGCCACAGCGCTGGCGAAAATTTAAATTTGCCGACTGGAATTCTTTCGGATAATTGACGTTTCGGATAAATGACGCTCTACTGTATTTATCTGTACAGATCACTTCACATATCTTAACCAGGAAATAAAACTCTGAACATTTAAAAACTTCAAGAGCCCCTTTTTAGTAATGCATAGTCATTTTTTCAAAGATTTGTCAACAATCTGTTCTCTTCACTGAGTAAATACATTGGACCTTGCACATTTTTATAGCCTGGCCAAGATTCATGAATAAGCTATAATTAAGTTTTATAAGACATGGTAAAATTAAATTAGGATAAAATAACACCAAACCTTCTTTGAAGTACCTTCTAAACAATTCTCCAGTAGCTTACTATTTTGATAACAACTAACATTTTTGATCCTCAGCTGGATCTTCTTCAGATTGAACATAAACGTTGCATTTTTTAAAATGCTCCAATAATCGAATGAGGCTCCAGGTTATTAATTTAAATTAGCAGTGTGATGTCATTGTTATAAAGCAAGATACAAGATATTAAACCCATTTCAAACCATTATTTCTTTAAACTTTTAAAAATTTTTAAAATGTTTTAATTTTGATGTTATTAAAGGGCCTGGATGTGGTTTAACATAATATCTGCCATGTGTAGGACAAACGTTTTTCATCTTTAAAATTAATGTTTCTCCTTTGTTTTCCAGCTTTATAAATTTACAGTGATTCTAAAGCCCTAATGTTTTCCAATTGTTTGGCTCTCTTAATGATGGTGGCATTCTGTAGATCAGCCTGGATATCATTATATGAGGCATAAATAGCCAAGGTGGTGGTGAGCTTGTTGTGGCTGATATCATAATTATGTTCAACCAATCTCTTTTATAGAGAGAGTGCTGTGGAGCTATGTACTCCAATTTTAAAAGTTTAAAGAACTAATGGTTTGAAATGGGTTTAATATCTTATAGTAGGATGAAGAGTTCACTGAATTTGGCGTTATAAGTGCTTTTTTATCGCAAGTACTTTTGATATCAACTCTCCATCCTACTATACAATATTTGGCATGAGTATCAATCTTTAGTTAAATATCTTGTATCCCACTTTATAACAATGACATCACACAGCTAATTTAACCTGGAGACATGTTTGATTAATGGAACATTTTTTAAAATGCAACATTTATGTTCAACCTGAAGAAGATCCAGCTGAGGATCGAAAACATTAGTTGTTATCAAAATAATAAGCTACTTGAGAATTGTTTAGAAGGTATTTCAAAGAAGGTTTGTTGCTGTATTTCCACTCCAGTATTAATTAGTGTAAGTAGGACAAATTAGAAAATGCATCACTCATTTTTTTTACCATAAAAGCAAAACTGTGAAATTCAAAGATAAGAATGTCAGGATAAGACTGTGACATTTACTCCAGTACTGCAAATCTCATGCCTAAATCTTGACGTGTGGCTGGTCTATTGATAGGGAATTTAATATAATTAAATAAATTTTAATTTGATTGAATTATTTAGAAATACCTTGAACAGGAAGTTTACCAAACAGATCTCAAAACCTGGTTTTTTAATATGTTTTCAGACTTATTTTGAAAACAGATCTCAAAATAGGATTTAAACTTAAAAATATCATAAACAAGCACATTGTCAATTATGACACCTAGAGATTGAAAATTTTACTGATTTTAAATTTTAACTATTTGCACAACAGAAAACAACATGAGTAATATTTGAAAACTGATAAAAAGTTAGAAAATGGAGCTTTTCAAATATTTTAAAAAATGTTTTAAAGTACTTTAAATAAAAATTTTAAAATGTAACTGAATCAATTATATCCATGAATGAGTAATATAATTTCAAATCATTAGAAATTTATTTAATCAAACAAAATAAAAATGTTTTGCTATGACTCATCAATAGTTGGAATCTATAAATGAGAATGAAGATATAATAGAGAAGTTGCAGCCAAAGTTTTCATCTCTAAAATGTGAACATTGAGCACTGCCATCCTGTAAGCCTAGAAGTTTGACAATGGCATTTTGAATGTCAGTGGAATCATGCTCAATGTTCCAAATGCCATTGTCAAACTTCTAGGCTTACAGGGTGGTGGCACTGAAATCCAACGTTCACATTTTAGAAATGAAAACTTTGGCTGCAACCTCTCTAACATTAAAAAACACTTTTCAAAATAAAAATATTTGATTTATAGAAATTGTTTATATTATCATTAACATTCTGAAATATCCAGATACATATTTTAATTTAGCATCCCCTTATTACAGGATATGCTCCTCACATTACAGAAGGTATTCTAGTAGTTTTTAATTTTTCAAAAATGAAAGTATTTGTTATATGAAATTGATGCAGATATTACAAAGTTCAAGTTTTTTAAAAATAATAACAAGTATTAAACTCATTAAAAGGTGCAATAATACAATAACAACAGTAATAAATATTTGATAAACCCCAAAACACAAACACTTAAAAATTTGTAGTAGTCAAAAGTTTGTTTGGATGAAATGTTTTTTGAGACCTTTTGTCTTAGCTTCAGAGTAGAAAATTTGAAGCTTAGACAAAAGGTCTCAAAAATATTTCAGCCATATGTACATCTGACTCATAATTTTTCAAGTATGTGTTTTTTTTTTTTGGTTTCATATTCTATTTAAAATGGAGTCATCAAACATGAAGTCATCAAATATTGAAAATGGAGTTTAAATCAAAACAGATTTTACAGAATAATAAATACCTTTTGAAGTAACTGTTCACTATGATCTCTTATTAAATTAAAAGTTGAACCTTCCATAGCAAGATGATATTTTCCATCATTTCGAAATGGAATGTACATTTCCTAAAAATTTCATAACAAAATTTAATTTCAAACATTAATAAATAATTTGCTATAAAATTATTTTTAAATATTTTCAATAATTTTTGTTGATTAACTTTACAAATTATATATATATATATATATATTATACACCTATATTATTCGACTTTCAGACAGACAGTTACATTATATTCTATCATTTAATTTTTGTATATCATTTGATTTTGTCTGTTGTCTGAAGGTCAATAAAAATTGGGTGAAAACATTGGTGATTAAAAGTTCTTTTGTGCTGATTATAAATGTTATTTGTTGAATTTTATTCATGATACTTTGATATCCCTAAATCATTTTTTGTGTGCCAAATTTGAACTTTTATACATTTTCAACCAACAAATAAAAGTTTTGAGCCATTATACCAGTGAGATTTTTTTGTCAGTTTTGGTTTCAGTAAAATCAAAATTATTTATAAAAATTAACTTTTATTGTCTTTTTTCTGTTTAATCTATTATCTTAACATTTTAAGTAATGTTTCATGCATTAAAGTTATAAAATATTCATAGTAGAAAGGAAACTTTCCTATTTTAATAAGAAATTTAATCATAAACTAAATAGAAATAATGTACTGTACTTAGTTTTTGTGGAATGGAACTTGCTTTAAATTCATAGATCTACTGTTCAGTTTTTGGATATTTGACTTTTATGTACAATACGTTTTTAGAAACACATTACATTCAAAAATCATTTCCTGCCTGTATTTATAATCTGATGATAAAAAATGTACTACACAACTACACATAATGTACACGACTACAATAAATGATAATGTCATATATCAAACTGTAATTTAAAAATTCAAATGAAAAAAATAATTTATAATTTAAAACATAATTTTCCATTATAAATATATATTTTTTTAATCAATAAAGTTATATACAATCAAATCCCATTAATACAAAGTGAAAGAGACTTGAAAATTGGCACTCTGTATTAACAAAATTTATAACTGTTATAAATTATGTTGTACATATATCCTGATGTGGAGTGGTGGTATATAACAAAATTTATTAACTGACATTTAACAAAATTTAACATTGGAATGCTTATCTTCCACTGTTCATTAGACTGCAATTCTACTTTGCATTAATATGGACTTTGCATAAACCAATAATGTAATAATATGGTTTGACTATATAATTATTCCAAATTTTTTTCTTGTTTTGAAAATTGTATAAATAATAATATAAATAAAGTTACAATTTAAGCAACAATAAGTGCATGTAAGGGAAAAAAGAANAGACACAATGTAAAATAATTATAAATATTTTATGACTAAGACAAAACCTTTCACACTTTGTTTCTGCAGTTTAATCACTAAGTACAAACATTTTAGGCCATTTTGAATGGCCTTCTTCATTCACACACCTTAAATTTTAATATCAAAAGATAATTAACAACATCAATATCGTCTAAACTTTGTTATCAACAATGACGTCACTAGTAAGAAGAAACCTATGTAAACAGTGACACCATTTGAATATCTGCTAACCGACGTTCCAACCGACCTAATTGTACCTGAAGAAGGCCATTCAAAACAGCTGAAAACGTTTGTACTTAGTGATTAAACCACTAGAAACAAAGTGTGAAAGGTTTTGTCTTAGTCATTTTAAGTAGTTCTAGCTTCAAATGCATAGAAGTATAAATATTTTAAATTACATAATTAATTTTTTCATATTATCTAAAATTCTGAAGTAAAATTGATCAAATAGAAAACAATTTTTCACAAAATTAACTTTTACTGACTGCTAAAATGATATTTACATTTAATAACTTACCTAATTAATAATGGTATGCATTGAATATTCTGTACCCTGGATGTAAAAGGTGATGCTACTGAAGCTTCAGCCACTGATAAAGAAACGCCAGTATGTGCTGCTTTTAATGCTCCACAATCATTTGCTCCATCTCCACACATCCCTACCTGATGACTATAAAAATTAGTATGTAAATATAAAGTTTGGCAATTAAGTTTAAGAACTATGTATATTTTAGAGGAAATTATGTCATAATGAAAGACTTTTAATACTATTCAAAAAGAATTTCTTCTGGGCATTAAAAGTGTGCTCATTAAACTCATTTAAATTTTTCATTCATTATATTGCATTGTCTTTATCTTGAAATAATTTTTTTCAATGTCAATTTGATTTTGAGAACAAGAAATACTTTGCAAAAAATAGTTCAAAGAAATTAGAAAAATGATTTAGTTCTGCAATCTAATGCTTTGCTAAAACTTCTTACTCTAGTTTAATATGATATGCATTCATTGACAAAACAGTTATGCACCAAGAATGAAACTATTAATGTAAAAATATAACAACAATGATAGTAAGTGATTACAAATATTGTAGCAAAGGGACAATTTCCAATGAAACAACAGTACAATTTGAAAGAACCTTTAGTACCTTGCATGACCTTTTACCTGGATACACGTGACAATATTATCAGATATGAAGGCAAACAGATACTTTAAGCTAATTTGCAACAGTTTGTCCACAGACGTTATTTATTTATTTATTTTATATAAAAAAGGAAATGTCTCAAGACAACTGTTATCCTTCCCAAAAAAATAATGCCTGCAACAAAAGATTATAATACAAATAACAAAGAATAAAAATCAAAGATGTTACAACTGCCACTCCATATCTCTTGTATTTAATGGCAACAGTTGGCATCCCATCTGGTCCCACAAATGTGGGCAACAAATCTGGAGACTGGGCAGGCCAAGAAAGACAACATAACAGAGAAATTCCTGAAAATCCTAGCCATGTGATTGAGCATTGCGTTACTGGAAAATGAGTTTGTATCCCTGATCATTTCTCTTTTTGGTCTGTCTGGACATCCTGAACCTTTCTGTCTACCCTAACATCATTTCACAGTTATATCAAAATGGCCCAGATGGCAGGCACTTTGGCTTCCCTCAGCCTAATGATAATGCTTCTAGATCCATCATTGGTTTAAATCAGAATCAGAGTCAATATATATATATATATATAGCTTTGTTTTCATATTTTTAATGTCATTGTCATTAAATTAATTATTTTAATATTTCTCAAAAATTATTAACACTTATATGCTTTCCTAAATTTATGTAGATATATTTGAAGATAGTAATAAAGATAATATAATTTTAAAGAAAATTCATGTCTTATGAAATAAATATTTTCCTTTTTTGAATGAAGTATAGATAATAAATCCATTAAATTTAAATTCTTTTTTTTTTAAATAGTAAATAACTAATTTTTACAAACATTTATTTAAATACTTTTCACAAATAATAAAATTACAATGCTAAAATAATTCTATTTTTAATAAAATGTAAATGTAATAAAAATATTATTTAGAAACTTAAATAAATTTGATATTCATTAAAATTAAGAAAAAAATTAATAAATAATCAAAATAAACAACTTGTAACTACTTATGTCTCATTATTAAATTTAACTTCACAAAGGGCACAGAACAATATTGCTCAGGCTGTCAGATAATCAATAAAAATATAACATATTACTCCTGTATGATAGTTATAAATAAAATTCAAATAAATTTAATAAATAATTAACAAAACTATAAAAGTATATTATAATCTCATCAAAATAGCATACTCTAAATTTTGAAGAGCTTCTATTAAATGTAACTTTTGTTCTGGTAACATTCGAGCAAAAATTGTCCCTTTTTGAACAATCTGAAATAACATATTAGAAAATTTGTAATTATAAAAAAAATTATTAATTATTTTCCAGTTTCATTAATATATTATTTATCTACAATTTAGCATTTAATAGTTAAAACATAAAATAAAATTAATAGGATTGTAATAATAAGAAATATATTAATTTAGTAAATTAAATAAGCTATTTTGAATCTTGCAACTACAAGCAGCACACTACTATCTGGTAGCAGAGCTGCTAAGCATCTTTTTGGTGCATGAATGAGACTTATTAATTAGAAAGAGTGAGATCACTGATTTTATACAAATATTGTGTCAATCACCAATGAAGTTCAATTACTGTGGCATGGTTCTTAGCTGATGAAGCACAGAACAGAAATAAGGTCCAAATCACATATCAATAGAATGCAATCAGTTAAAATAAAATTGGCATAAGAATAGATTCTATTACACACATTTTTATTATTTTACAGTAGAATCTCATTTTAATGAATTGCTTGGGTTGCTGGAAATCATCCATTGTTCCTAGAATCCATTATATTGTGAACAACAGATTTCCCTCACACCCAGGAAAGTATCCATTATAAGGAAAAATTTCCATTTTTCAACCTCCTATATATAAGAAATCTAGTAATTGAAATTATTCAGTCTCTTGAGATCTCTATTCTTTACTCTGTAGAAATATGTATGCTACAAGATCATATATTATGCTGTACAGTACATGTTTATGATAAAGCTGATGGAAACTGTAAGTGCAAAAAGAGGCAAATTACTTATGCTCATTAGCACTTCACTGATTTCAGAATTTATTAAAATACTCATTTATCTTGGTTTGTTTTTGTGCTGCTTTTCTGCCTATTGAATACAATAACTGTTGAATACAATAATTGTGAAGTTTACAATAGGTAGAGCTAAAAAATAATCTTTCCAAGTTATTCCAAGTTTCAGAACTGCTAAAAGTAGGTAAAATTACATTGATTTGGTGGGACCTAGGGAAAAAAATCCATTATTATTAGATATTCATTGTTTTATGATCTGCTAAAACGAGATTCTATATTCTTCTAATGTATATACCCTTATAATGCTCTGTATTATACAATTACATTGTTTTCTTTGCTTTTTTAATTCTGTTTTAATCTATTGTCTGCTGGAGCTCAAATAAATGGAAAGACTCAGGTACAACCAGTACTGACATTTAAGAAAAATAAAATATACAATGCTAAGGAAAAAAATTACCAAAACTAATTAATATTTACTAAGTTATTTCATAAAAAAATTGAATAAACCTTATCTTTATTTAATAATTTTATGTTTTATAAATATGCCTTTTACCCATATTAATGTCCAGTGCCGGCCTGAGGCAAGTTTTAGGATGGAGCGAGATCCTATTATGGCGCCCAGGGATGGAACCTCGCCCACGGACTCGAACTACGAGCGTCTCAACAGATAAGGCCATTCACATACTGGTCACACGCTTGCAATTAAAATATCGAAAAGTGAAAAAATATATTTTTTCCTTTAATTTTTTTACCACTAAGGCGCCCCTAGGACTTAGCGCCTGGAGCGGCTGCTTCGTTCGCCCTATGGTAGGGCCAGCTCTGTTAATGTCTTTTACCAATATAGTAGAGCGTCGTTTATCCAAATCAATTGAAGACTGGGGTTGTCCGGAAAATCGATATTTCGGATAACTGATTATGTACGAAAAAATATATTAACCTATCCCATGTTGAAATTTTTCTCCATTGCGTGTCACTTTGTGTTGAATTTTTGTCGATGTTAAGACTATTGTATCGTTAAAAATTATTTTTTTATTTTGTACAAACAAAATAAATATACTGAAAAATATAAAAACAATAAAAAATTATACTTCAGAAGT